TCCCTTGATCGCGCTAACCTCGTTTACGAGCAGTCGCACAGCAGCGAAAGAAAAAGAACGAGACTTGGGGAGGAAACCGCGGAATCAAAAGATATTATTCCGTCATCTTCTTGCATAAGATGCTCCCGATGCTGCGAACGATCTTTCACGATTTATCGTTTCATCAGCCACGGACACGCGTAAATTTTTTACCGTGAAATCTTAAATCTGAAAAACGACAAGGTTCTTACAATTAGCTTCACGTACGTATGTACGAGGCGTGATTCTACGCGAAAAAAGAAGTCGAAAATATAGAATAAAAATTTCTTTCTAATTTTTTTTTTTTAATTTTTCCATCGAGACAACGATCTACAGTGAGATCCGTTATAACGAGACGCGATAAAGTGCACGCGTACCGAGCCAAAATTCAATGTCGATTTTCTCGTAAACGAAGCCTCGAACGAAAAATTTTTATTCCATATTTTCGACTTCTTTTTTCGCCTAGAATCACCCCCTTTGCGCTTGTACTACCAGTTGCCAACTACCCAGTATATATTTTTCGTCATTTTAAGATCTTTGTGAACATAGCGAAAGGAATGGGTTAAGACGATCGCATCTTCAATTTCTGCTCGATACATTTCAATTTTTTTCAGCAAAATGTTTATACGTAGAACTACGCACATCGCAGGGAAATTACGCCTAATTAGATGACAAAGTTACTTGGCGATTCAAATTTTCTTAGAACCAGCGTTCATCCGATAGCGAGTCAAGACGTAGACATCGCTCTTTGTAATACGGCATAGTCCTATAACGTGTTTCGCCCAGTAAATATTATAACCGTAGCTACTTTGGACATTTCATATATTCTCGCATATTACGTACAAACTTTGTATCTTTACGCACTCCGATTTTCTAGGTTTCGATACGTAACTCGAGTCTCGGTATATCGATGGATCAATATATCGTACGTACTTTTGTATCCATCTTGGAATCTTTTTATTTCTGATTTTGTACAGAGAGTCGAAAGCATTCGTCGTTATTACAGTTTAGAACGTGCGTATCGTGTTCATGCGATACCACCCAAGCGCTCTCGATCCAGCGAATGGCATCCTTAAATCTTGTCTACTCCGACGATCCACAAATCGTCCCGTGTCTACGCAAAGTAACGATTTCTTTACTCGGACCAATGGAAATTTCCAGCGTTTAGAATTTTCTTAAACGTTCCGCTCGATCGATCGAGTAAAATCATTATAATTTGATATATTTGCATTTCTCTAATGAAAACGTACATTACGAAATACAAGCAAGCGCGCGGATATTTGCGACCGGCGATGCATATTCGCGCACGCCTAATCGTAATTCCGCTATTTCCCGATTTTTCCAACTTTTTTGCAACGCTGCGATCGAAAGGTGGATACGAGTTTTCGATAACGAGGCATCGGTTTCCAGGCAAATATCAATTCGGCGTTGCACCATCGACCGAGCGATATTCGTACGCAGGGTTACCCATACGAAAAAGATGCGAGTTATCAAAGCGAGAAAATGGGAATGGAGATTCAGTGGTGTGTCGCATTGCGGCGCAGCGGCAAAAGTACCCGATGCACCGACCTCGAAAAGTGCGACACACGATGCACTCGAAACTCGAGCGAGGCCGGACGAAAGTCGTACAACGCCTCTCTCGATTCGTCAGTTCGCGCGCGCTTAACCGCCGTTACAAACGACGACGAATTCGTTGCCCTCCACGTCGACGAAAAACGAAAGGTGACGGCTCGCCAACTGCCTACACGAATTAATACGTTCGATTCGATTAATCGGCAAACGACCACTTCGCTGTGAATTTGTATCAAGCGATGAAACGCAAATATACGGAAATGCTACTTGTGGTTGGACATCAGAGAGAATCGAAAAGAAAACAAAGTATTCCTAATTCTATAATTACGAAGCGAGAATAAATACCTTGTTTCTCGTCGTGTTAACCGCGGCAAATAAGAATAGTATGTTCTTAGATGGCTTTGTATTATAGTTATGAGACGCGGTTGCATAAGAGGGTTATCTATTCTATTGCGTAAAGTTGCAGACTGAATCTTAAGATATGGAAACTTAGCTGTCTCAGACAACGTCTATCTTAACCCCTGGTTAATCTAATCGTAGTAACGTTAGGCAGTGATTTCACGGTTTACGAACCGATCCCTAGAACACGCTCGTTCCACCGGAGAATAAAGGAAAATTATTTTCACCCTTATCGCGGATCGTGTCATCCACTTAGCAAAGGAGGGGAACGAGAAGGAGCGAAAAGGAGGCCAAGATATCCTACGATATATATATACGGGACATGTAGCATCTATTTCGTCGTCTTGTTCTACGAAATCGCGATCGTAGATACGAGAACGCGTGTACGCGTTCCGTTGAGATACTAAATTACTTCTGGTCGTTTATCTCCCATTGTCAGCGACGAATATCCTTTCTTTCCTTCTCTTCTACCAAAGATGCGATTGTAGGATTGAAAATCGGTTCTAATCCTTAACGAAATAACGACAGGAACGTCAGTTTGCAGTAGAAATCGCGGTGTCGACGAAGAATTGACGCCGCCGTGCCGTCTCATCGAAATAAGAGGACGCTCGGCAAACGACAATTGCTGGAAACCTTGTGGCGAGTCTGGCGATCCACGAGCCAAAATCTCACTGGTCGTGGCACATGACGGACGATATTGATCGCGTAATAAAGATTTCCGTTTCGTTTGTTTCGAACGAACGCGATCTATCCATTAACGATAGCATCGGATGCCGGTAGCGAAAGAGACGCGCGATTTCGAACGATTTTCTAATAAAAAAACAAATACTCGACTAACTGTTAAACGGCGGACAATTATATCGCTCAATACGTACAACTAAAGACAGCGAACGAACGATCGAACGGTTCGACTTTTTCTCCCGCGTTCGCTCCTCGACTACGAAAATTTCCCTTTTCCCTGCGTCTTGAAATTTCCCACGCGTCCATGAAACTCCAGGATCCAGCAACCATCTAACTCGCAATACGAATACGAATATTCTACCTCTATGTGTGCGTGGCTGTACGCTTCTATATCTGTTGGTCCATACTTGAAGGGTTAAACGAGTAGAGCCAAAAGATCGGTAGGTTGAATATCTTCGTGGTTGGCGTCACGACGCTCTAGACTCTAGACCATAGACGTCGGGGGTAACGTTGAGGGTGTGGACGTCGTTGGCTCTAGTAGGGGAGTCTCCGATTGTGTCTATGTCGGTATCGGTGTCTACGTTGTTGTCGTGTCGTGGTGTTGGTCTGAGCGTCGGTGTCGGTGTCGGTGTCGGTGTCGGTG